GCGTCATCTAGTCTCGGCGGAACGATTCGAGGCGTATGGGCCCGTGGGCCTGGAGTCGAGAAATACTCCTGTCGGTCTGACCATACGCCGACGGTCTTNGGAGGAAAGATGAATCCCATTCAGTAGGGAACTTATGCCGCGAGGCATAATCCTCGGCTTGCAAAGGCCGTGGAATGTGACGGTAATACTCCTGGTGGACCTCGCCCACTCTACCGTATCACGCTGATGTTAACTAGGCAACCCATTGTCCAGCCCAAAAAGTCCTCTGAGTGGACGAGTTTGCCTCAGAGGCCGGTTTTCGTCGAACCTCCCGTGAAGGTTCGGCTGGCGCCTGACTATTGAGCGATAGAGATGGCTAAAAAGTAGTTTGGATTTTTCCTGGGTGAACAACCCGGGAAAATATCCTTACAAAATACATCGGTGTATATTTTCTACACATGGTTTCGTTTATAATCAGTGGAATTAGACATTTGTTTTGGTGATGAGAGTTGAGAATTGACAAGGTAGTATCTAGAGGTGGAGAGTAAGAATTAACAGATCAAATTCCTAACGACAATAAATAATTTGTTTTCGATTTTTTTCATTCAATTATTGTTTAATGAAATCGATACTAATCCACAAAACCGAAGAATATTACATTTTCTCAATAGAATGAAAAAGACGGAATACTTTTTATTCAAAAATTTTCACTTATCCAATTTATGAATTGCATTGACGAGGATAAACTCGAAAATAAAGGATGGATAATCTGCGGCATTCGAACAAAATTCCATAAATACTTGGCTTTTTCAATATTCCCTTCTTAGCAATAAATAATGGAATGGTTCAAACTTCCAAACATATAATTGTTTTGGCATGTAATTGATTTTTGGTTAAATTCTGGGATCAGAAAGATGAGTTACAACTCAGGAAAAATTATTGTTGGAGTGAAAAATTGATTATGATTGAATCATTTACTTTTAAAAATGGTCATGGTCTCCGAAAATCAAGATTTTTCAATCATTTCATTAGTCCATTGCGAAAAGTCAACTTTTTATTTTTTCCAATTTTCAAAAAAGCTTCCCTCATAACTATGAGTAAATAGCAGTTGTACTGTTGAAAAAAAAACTGAAATTTCAAACAAAGTCAATTAGAATCAATAGCTAGAATTATGAGATTGTCTGACATATTTTACGTCAAGTATAGGCGAATCTAAATGCATCACACTGAAAGTGAAGATAACTTTTTTCCTTTGAAAAAATAATAATGATATCCAAATTTAAAAATTCTATTATGGATAAAAAGCTGGGACTTAATATTTCGTAATAGCACAGAATAAGAATGATGATATTTATATCATATCTGAACATTAAATTGAATTTCAAATTCACAAAAAAGGATGAAGTGACGATATTCTACGCAAACAATTATATTGATTGTTCGAATAATCCACATATTATCAACTTTCAATCTCTTTTTTTAAACCTTGGAAGAACCTTAAATTAACAATATTATTCAGACAGCCGCCTGTTGCGTCATCCTCCCTCAAAACCGTTACACACATCGTTCTCTCAACTTCTCGAAGCTTCTACGATGAGGCTGCCCTCTATCATAGGCGAATCAAATTTTATTTGAAATCATATTTTCCAACACACCTCCTTGATTTCATAATAATAATTTTCCATACACAACCTTATAATGTTTTCAAACCCAACAGAGTACGAAGTGTATGAAATTTTGATTTGCCCAGTGCCTTTGTGAGTATATCAGCTATTTGATCGTCTGTATGAATTTTCTTAACATTTATTACCCCATCTTTTTCATAATCATAGACAAAATGATAGCTTGTATCAATGTGCTTGGAATTCTTAGAAAATTTACCATTTTTAGCCAACCCTATTGCACCTGTATTATCTTCATATATTGAATCAGGATCACTAACTACAACATCGAAATCATTTAAAATTCCCTTAATGGGTAGAACTTCCTCTACACAATCTGCTAGTGCATAATACTCAGCATGAGTCGAAGCTCTTGATACTACCTTCTGTTTAAGTGATTTCCACAATATAGAATTTCCAAAAACTCTAATAAGAGTTCCAGTAGTCGACTTTCTATCAATGACATCTGATGCCCAATCACTGTCTACGTATGCATCAATTGTTGTCTTTGAGTTTGAGGTGNATTATGATTGAATCATTTACTTTTAAAAATGGTCATGGTCTCCGAAAATCAAGATTTTTCAATCATTTCATTAGTCCATTGCGAAAAGTCAACTTTTTATTTTTTCCAATTTTCAAAAAAGCTTCCCTCANAGTATAAATATTTTAGAACTCTTAGTGCATATTGATAGTGCTCATGATTGTAACTACTTTGGAATTGACCCAAATAATTTACCGAAAAAGAAATGTCAGGACGTGTGCCACTAGCAATGAATAACAAAGCTCCAATCAAATTTCTGTACTTCAACTCATAATCAGTAATTTCTGCTGGCTCTAATTTTAAATTCATTTCCATGGATGTTCCATACTTCTTAGAATTCTTAATCTGGTGCTTCTCTGCGAGATTATCAATGTATTTTTCTTGATGTAAAAATAATTATTTCTCATTTTGATGATACTCAACCTCAATGCCCACATAATGTTGTACTTATCCCAAGTCTTTCATACGAAATCTCATATTCAATAATGATTTAAGTTTAAGCATCCCTCTTCCGCTCGATCCACAAATCAACAAATCGTCAACATACAGTATCACATATAATTTCTCATTGTTAATCACGCCTGTATAAAAACAAAAATCGTATTTTGACCTCTCCAAGTTTAATTTTGTCATATAATTATTGAAACATTCATACCAGTCTCGTGAACTCTCTCTCAGCCCATATAAAGCCTTTTGCAATAAACCAATTTTGTCACCATTAATTTGATATCCCTCAGGTGGGTAAATATCATCTTGAGACTTGATATTTCCATTGAGAAATGCAGTTTGAACGTCCATTTGTTGAATGTTCCATCCATTATTACAAGCAACTGAGAGTAGAATTTTTAATGTATGCATTTTCGCTACAGGCGAATAAATCTCTTCATTCTCCTGAAAAACTTGTTGGAACCCTTTAGCTACTACCCGTGCTTTATATTCCCCATTAAATTTGATTGTATATATCCATTTAACTTCAATGATCTTTTTATCTTCAGGAGTATCAACTACTGACCAAGTTTCATTTATTCTAAGACTCTCTATTTCTTCTTCCATTGCATTAATCCATTTCTTTGACTCAGGACAGTTAATTGCCTCTTCATAAGTTTCTGGTACCCTAACATTGGTATAATTTATGTAAACTATATGATCATCGTATCTCTTTGGCCTTTTAATCTCTCGCCTGGGTCTCATGGCAGTTTCAGCTATTTCTGGTTCATCATTATGTTCGGCTGTCTCTTTCCCACAGTCCAATTACTGCGACAATAACGCTCTATATGTCCAATCCCATTGCACTTGTAACATCTCACTGGTGGTCTACTTCGTTCATTTTGATTCTCCACTGGTCTCTCTGAGTTTGTTCGTTGTTGTTGATAATGATAATTATTATTGTACCTCGAGTTGTCAAATCCATTATGTCCTCTCTGACCACCTCGTGCATTACGAACGTTTCTCGGTCCCTGAGAACTGAAAGCTTGAGTTGAATTCCTTGTGTCCATTTTTGCATTTTCTTTCTTCAGAAATTCCACCAGTAACTTCGATTTCACAAATTCAACAGTTCTGTGCTTTAGTGGTAACGCATCAATTAAGTCCATCATCCGTGAGAGGCTCTCCGGTAACGCCAACTGTAGATAATTCCCTTTGTCCTCCTCACTTACTGCTTCACCTGCATTTTTCAGTTCATTTACACACTTCTCAAACCGTTTGATCAAATACGTTTGATCCAACTTCTGTAACATCTTTTTAGCTGTCTCTTCGGAGATAATCAGATCTAGCCGTGTCAGGGTGATGCTATTAACGATGTAATTTTTAGCCTTCAATTCTTTCTCCTTCCAGATTTCTTGCGTGATACCTTCTGGTCTTTCATCGAGTTTAATCACTTCATCACATTTTTTCCATTCAAGGAAAAGATTCAACTTGGATCTCCATTTCGCGTATTCTTCCCCATCAAACACTTGCATTCGGATCTCGTCGTTCTTCCCGGACATCTTCTACTAGTCTTTACACTTTTTTTAATGTTTTTTTTTTGTTTACAAACCACGCTCTGCTACCATGTTCGAATAATCCACATATTATCAACTTTCAATCTCTTTATTTAAACCTTAGAAAAACCTTAAATTAACAACATTATTCAGACAGCCTCCTGTTGCGTCATCCTCACTCAAAACCGTTACACACATCGTTCGCTCAACTTCTCGAAGCTTCTACGATGAGGCCCTCTATCATAGACGAATCAAATTTTATTTGAAATCATATTTTCCAACATTGATGATATGAAAAGATTGATTGAATTAACGAGTGAATTTATTGAAAAAAATATATGACAGTAAACAAATATTGAATGTGGCAGAAAAAAGGGTATAGAAAATGCCATCAACGTCGCAGCCGCAATCACGTTATAAATATGAACAGGGAGCCCCTCAGCTTGATTGAGATAATAATGCAAAGCCGAAACTGGTATAGCTATAGAAATGTGAAAATTTCAGAGTAGGTCCTATTTCTGGGCGCTCATTAAGAGAAGATTTTCGGACATTAATCACTGTGTTTTAAATTCTTTACAAAATCCATCTCTAAAAGGATGAATAGGAGATAAATTATAGGCATTTCAAGGAACTTCACAGGTTTCCTAAAAAATTAAAGAATTGTCGGTTGTTTTTGCAAATGTATAATAATTCGGGAGTTTTTCAGAAAATTTAAAACAATTATGAGGGTTTGTCTGTAAATTTGAGAAAATCCATGAATTTTTTTATAATTATAGAAATTTTCCGGTATCTCCCAGATATTGGGGAATTTTTGAATAAACCATGGTAGAACAATTGATAAGAAAAGCCGGACTTTTCCAAATAAAACTGATCTGAAGAAGTCACGTGTCCGCCACTACACGCTGATTGATTGAAATGAAAAAGGACATTATTCGAAAAATTTGATAAATTCCTCGGATTTTCTCAACAATTTCACAAAAATTTCGATGTTATTTCATATTGGTTATTATATATTATTTCGATGGAAAAATTCTTCTTCGAGTAAAAAATTGATTAGGATTGAATCATGTATGTAGAAAGATGGTTCATGATCTCCGAAAATCTCTGAAAATCATATCATCTGAAACATCAATATGAATTTCAAATTCACAAAAAAAATAAAGTGACGACATTCTAAGCAACCAATTACGTCGATATGAACTGAAGTGAAGTAAACTCATTTAAAAAATCTATAATAGTGTTGACACGCACTTTTACCCGAGTATCAACAAGCATTGATTTCCAACAATTGATTCTCTGAATAATGCTTGAGAAGAAATTGAATTCTAATCATGATTAAAATCTCCTTCAGTGAGCATAGGAATTAGCACATGTACGCAAGTAATTCATACAAAAATTTAACAGCTAATAAATTGGGACATATTATTTTCATCAGTCACATTGCTTTTTGCAATTTTTTTTTATTTAGAGCATTTGAACCTCATGGGTCATGAAAAAAAATGAAATAAACTGCAAAAAACATACGAATTTGTAGGGTAATTTATTTTATCGACAGAGAGTTTATCAATCTAGGGTAAAAATAATTTTAAGAAATCAAAGGACGAATTTATAGAGGACAACGACACTCTGAGTTTACATGACGCAGGGCGAATCGGCTGGTCACACTGGCCGCAACGACACCTCGCTCTCTTTCCTCCGAGCCGGCCCACAGTCCACATCGCTCAGTATTATTATAATTATTGGGATCCCAAAGAAAATTATCGACCATGTGTGTGGATTAATTTTATATTGTTAGTCTGCAGCTAACGTATAGAAGATAAGTACCAAAAACGTTAATTATTATTAGCTATTGACGATTTATCGAAACCTGAGCGGTTTGTGGCGGAGGATTGGGGCTATTCTTTTATTTATTTGTCGTACTGAAAAACGTCAAGGTTAACCTGATTTGGAAAATTATTTGTTGCCTCTAATTGATGTGAAAGGATGTTTCAATATTATTAGTGAACTGAAAACTTTATTTGAAAAATTAATTTCGTAATCATGAGATGAAGGAGTTATATTAGTGACTGTTTGTATTGAACGGGTTATGAGTGGTTTAAAGAAAATTTTGTGAAAATTTTTGGGAGAAGTTTAAAAGACTAAAGGTCAATTGTTAAATTTAACTGGAAAATACGATTATTGAAAAATAATTAATTATTGATATTGGACGATTCCAATGATTTAAATTGGGAATAAATAATGATCGACGACCTCATATTTGAAATCCTTGTGTCGCTATTAATTCATTTATTGATCCTGATAATTTATGCGGTCTATGAAAATACGGAGTTTAATGAGATTTTATTATTTAAAATAGTAATCGGTTTATTAATTATTCTGACTTTAACTAATGCCCTAATTATCCTACACTCGGTCCTAACAAAATTTTCATGCTGAAGTAAATCATTTTTTTGTTTTTTTCTGAAATAATTGATTTGACGATTATCCTGAGTAACCATTAGGGGAGTTGCAATTTGAAAATTACTTACGCTCAACGTCATACAAATAGAAAATATATTACAAATTATTACATACAATTATGGGTACATCTTCAATGTCGATGCTTATACATAGTAGTTTTCATCATTTTTACATATATACAGGTACTTATTAAATATTCAATTTCAAAGAGATCAGGAAGGAGTCAATAAGTAGCAAGACTGCTTTTTGCAATGGAAATGATTATGAACAATCGATTGAAAATATCAATATTGAATGTGAAATTTCTTCATTTCACATTTTTTAATAATCACTAATCAGATCCTATGTAAATTCACAAATGTGGACAGATGTTTTCGGTATCATAAATTTGAATTATTTTATCATGGATTAAACGATGTTTTCTCAGTAATTGAAGTTCAATTTTTTATTTTTATAGTCGATATATCTTGACATACCTTATGGGTGATTGGTTTAAAAAAACGATGGTCTCAGCGGTTTGTTATTTATTCACACAAAATATGTGAGAAAATCTTTTTTTTAATTATCTAATAATTACACGTGGGCCAAAAAAAGAATCTGATACTCAATTCTCAATTTTGAAAGGTCAAACGTTCTGAGGGTCAAAGTGTTTCAAGAATTGAATCTTTTGAAGAGTCATTCTTTTCAATAGTTAACCCCTCAAGTACGGCGTCCATACCACATATGAACCCGGCAGCCTGTCCTATCGGCCGGGGTCCATATGTCATATGGACTTCTCCGTGAATCATAAAAAATCATTTCCTCTGGTTCTACTAAAGATATCAAAATTCAACAAATTATCCCATGAAGTGAATAAAATTACCTACACAATGCAACTTAATTTTTTTTTTTTCAAGGCATTTTTAATATTATTTCTAAATATATAAACATTATGGAACTGAATTCGACGTCCAATGCATTCAAACCTCTTGTTTATCGAGATAATTTTCATCGAAAATTCTGAAATTTTTACCAAGCACACTCTAAAGTTTCCTCTGTCGAATAGCGCAAACCAAATTTCGATCTAATGAATAATTCATTTGTTATTAACAAATTTCCAACAACAGGTGATCTCGGCACTTATTCGTACGATCGAATCGAAATTGGTCTTAAAAATTCCGGAAAAATATCAACAGAATAATTCCGTTAGTGAACGGAGGAAAAATAGTGTTAATTCATTGGAAACGACTAATAAATGAAAAACCATTGGACTTAAAAAATCACTTATTGAAAACATTTCAATTCTCATAACTTATTCGTGAAGGCTTAAGATAATCATTAAATTTTAGTTCATAATTTTCTGATCATCGGTGTAGAAGTTATCGCGTATTGAACAGCGAATTCGAGTTGACGGGAGGCCGCCGGCCGATGAGGACACCCCGCGCGGTATGGACGCCCTACTTGAGGGGTTAAACATTTTCAAGATTAATCTTCTTGAGGATGAGACGTTCTAATGTTCAAACGTTTAGAGACTTGTACCTTTTCAAAACAGTTCCTGAAAGAAAGTGTGCAATGAACATGGCAATGTCCAGATCCTCCTTTCTACGAATCCATTTGGAAGCTTACTACCAATGGAATTGGTAGAAATAAAGAATAAGAAAGACGAATAACACATAAAGTAACGGTCATATGACTTCTGCCGCATAGCCTCGGTCCCCTGCGTATTTTGTCGAGATTTATAAAAAATTTCCCAAAATTTATGCTCAACATACGGACGAATACACAAACGACCTCGAAAAACTTCGGATTTCGACGTTTCATGACATTCTAAGTCATTTCCAAGCAAAATTAGAGAATCGAAAAATCGACTGATTACCAAGCTTCTATTCGGAAGCAAAAAAAATTGATACAAACTGTTTTTTGCGTGAATTGTGTCAAATAGTTGTTTTTCGGCTACGTCATTTTGCCCCATGTTCCATTTTGCCCTACTCTCCCCTACATAAAAAAACAATATTTTTTTCGGGAAGCTGTTCAAATTTTTTTGTTATTCTTAGTGGCTCGTAATTAAAATTGAAAAAAAGTGTTGAAAGTAAAAAAAAATTTAATATCTCCGCCAATAATTGAGTTAGAAAACTCTGTTTGTGCTCATTTTTGTCCTTTTAGGCTATACTTTCCGGAAAAAAAGGAAAAAAAATGTTCAAATTTTGAGGCAATTTTTCATATGCAGAATTTGTAGATTCGCTTAGATAACTTAACCGCTGTGATATATCAGTGAACATGAATCCGTTGAAACAAGTTCGCAATGTTCTGAATCTCAATTTTTAAACTGAATTTTCAGGTCCATCCTAATGACCAATTACAGTATGAGTTAATCAACAACTTACCTCATAATTCCATGCATTAGTCAGCTGAGTAGAATCCACATCAGTCTGTTCAGGCTGATAATTCTGACCCGGATCAGATTGCTGATGCTGCCAGTCAATGTACTCGTGTTGATTATACGTCTGCCGTTGCCCCCAATAATCCTGCTGTGTAGGCTGAGGAATCGATTGTGGATGGTTGAATTGATAATTATTTAGATCTGCACTGTTATCAGTATATTGACTACTTTGTTGGTTCGAAAAGTGCTGCCACTGCTCCTGCGCGGCGTCCACTGGGGGTACCTCTTCCACTGAAATCCCACCATCCTCATATTCTTGATGATTAGAATGATAAACCCATTGATTCTGTTGGATGTGTTGTTGCATTTCCACGCGTTCTTGACTCTGTTGACTCTCTTGCGGATCTGCCAAAATCTCAAGTGATGGAAAAATATCATGGGTAATTTCTCCTGCCTCATATTTACTAACAATTTGTGATAAATTATTGAGCCAGGTCAGTGAAATTTCATTTTCAATTGAGTCCTTGAATACAGGATCATGGAACTTCATTTTTTCACTCAATTTGTAGACATCTGTAATGAATGTGGGTTTGAATTTAGATGGCGAATTCATGATATTCAATGCAATTTGCTCTAGATAAAGTAGACCCTTTTCCACCAAACCATAATCAATCATCTTCAAAGCATTCTCGAATTTAAACGCCTGCAAAGCTGTTAACGTAAAGGAAGACTCGCTAAGGCTCCTGGCATATTCATAAATTTCAGTCAACATAACAGCCTCGAGTGTTACAAAATCCTCATAATGCTCATCGTGATTAGCTCCAATCAGTACTATTTTTGTACCTGATTTTCCATAATTTCCAAAATCTATTTCAGCAAGGATATAACAAAAATGAGCAGCATAAATATCTCCGCGTGCTGCCATAGTATCTCCCATGATGGAAATTGACTTGCGATTTATCTGTGGATTTACTGAGGTGTTTGATATTATCATCGCGAGGTGAGGACGCCAGTCATCCCATTTGCAGTCTGCAACACAAGTTACACTTGCCGGCACTCGGCCAGAATGCAGTTGATAAAGTGTTTGGAGGGGATCTTGGGCCGATAAACTGTTGGCAAAACGTGTCATGACTGAAGCATGGGTTCGTTTGTCTAATTTGCTAGCTAGGAATAAAGCGTGTCCCCACAGTCCTTCACTCATGGCATACTCAAGAGCTTCTTGTACGAGACCATAGAGCAAAGTATTTCTAAATTCATTTGTAATCTGCTCTACTGTTTTTCTTGATTGTTGCTTTAATTCAACGATTTCTCCAGATTCGGGGGAAGGAGGAGTCTCATCTGATGATTCATTGCCAGTAACACTAGAGCGATGAGACACACCTGAAGTCTGTCGAATGAATTCTCGCTCTTTAGCTGCTTCATTACCGTCATAGGGGTACGATTCTTTGTTGCGGAGTAGAAGTGCCGCGATATCAACTCCCACAACGTTTCCATTTTGTTGAATAAGCATAATCATTAGTTCATAGAGAAGAACATAGGAGGCTCGATCGATGGGTCTGTTACTGGTGGTTACTGTCTTTATTTTGGCTTCGCAATATTCGATTATTGTTTTCTTATGTGTCACTCCCTTTACCAACGGTCCAGGGTAGCTACGAAGCTCACGAACAATGGGGTCGTGAAGTAGAAGGCTGTCTATTTTAAGTATGTCCACTTTAGCTCTCTCACCGTCAGCTGGGTAACTGGCGTGCACGTGCACCAATGATCCAATCGAGAAAAGTCCTGAAAATAATTTAATTCAATTAATTTTGATATATTTCTTTTAATAGGATGGGAATAGTTATGCACTTATTCAAGAGCGGCTCTTATTTCTGACATGGATTCCCTGATATTACTGTATGCGAGCTTGATTATTGAATGTTGAAAAGTGGCTAATATGTGCTCTGATAGTCCCCGGAATCCAGATAAACGTAGTTTTAATGAATTGGTTATAAACATGCCAAGTTAAGAAACAATCATAAAAACAATTTGATAACACTAGCTGCTGCGCCCGACATTGCATGAGCAATTTTCTTCTGCATTTTATTTCCAGTACCGAATGCTCTAGAATTTTCAAGAAAACCATCGAAATGTTTGAATTTTTTTAACGCTGAATTTTTTGAAAAAATTGAAACTTTGCTTGTATCTTCCCTCTAAACTCTAGAAGATTCTAGGATTTTGCAGAAGTTTCCACGTTGCATTTCGTAGTTTGCGAAACCATCAAATTTTTTTATTTATCTAGGCAGACTCCAGAATTTTTTCGAATTAGTCAGAAAACCTTCAAATTTTGTAGAATGTTCTAAAAAATGAAATAATTTCCTTGAATTTTTTGGAAAGTCCCGAATTTACTGGAATGGTGGAGAATTTTCATCAATTTTTAAATACTCCGCTAAATTTTTTCGAATTTTCTAGAACCTTGGAGAAATTTCTAGTGTGGAGGTGCGCAATTTGAAGGGGTGAGGAGGTTGATGGATTGAATCCAGACGTAGAGTGAAATGGTTTTTACATTTAAAATTGAATTTTTCGTTTTACAATATGTATCAAGAGAGAGTAAGTTGTGGATGAACTTGTTTTCTGTGCGAAATTGAATCGTCGAGTGATATTAAGTGTTTCAAGTTCAAAAATATTTTATTGATCATTTTCGTCTTATAACAGTTAGTCTTCACATTTCGTTCCTTTAGTTACATTTAAGATCCCTACCCAATGGTTTACTCTTGGCAGTATTTTGTTATTGACATTTTCATTTTATTCGATTTACGGTTTATAAGGATTTATGATTTATTTGGTTCCAGGATAATGTTTTGGTCAATATACAGTCGGGTACTAAAGTTCATGAGCAAAACACATAGGATGCAAGTGCAGGCTGTTCACGAACTTAAGTCCGCAACTGTACAGTTAACGGTACGAATATAAATTCAAATTTTAAAATCATTTCCGAACAATTTATCACCTAAGTGTAGAGTCAAATTTCATTTTAATATTTTTATTTGTTCCTTTGGGATTCTACACCAGCCACGTCCTTGTCCTGAATCATGGGTTACGCTTAGAGCTGGCGAGGTTAGTTTAATACTTCACTACTCGGTAAAAACAATGTAAATTCTGAACGAATACCGATAAATTGAATTCTTTAAGAATCTATGCCCCAAGTAGGTGAGGTGGAGCATTGGAAATAGTTCCGTACACCCATATGATCACCTACCTATAAAGGAGGATGACTCATAACGGTGGAATTCATATTGTGTAACCTAGCTCAGAATAAAGGACAATTCCACGCCTCATAATACTTGTATAAATTCGAGTTTATGAGAGCGACCTTTTCAAATAATTTCCCGTTAATAACCCGTAAAAAACACATTGATTCACTATATAAAATTGTTGGAATAGATGGCGTCTGCTTCCGGTCTTACTCTCATCGTTGCATATATTTGACACACTATATCATTATAATTTCATGGGGGACTTCCGCATGCCCAAGCTGTTGGCTGAACGCTGCTGTTCACATGTGCCTTCATCTACGTTCTGACTTTTGTACTGAGATGTGCTGCCAGACGCGTACTATTGAATAAATGTCCTTTTTCACGATTAACCCAGTGTTTTAACTTAATTTATAAAACTATAACTTCAACAGATTATGGGCCCAGAGCACGCTTAGGCGCTTACTCTAATTAAAAACTGTCAATTAATGAAGTGAAAAGTCACTGGAGAAAGACAGACGTGGCGTGGGGATGAAAGTTGTAGCTAAGGGGTGCATCCGGACAGGCAAGATGGGCGATGAGATGTGTAAGTAGAGAAATTGAGCTATAATTCTAGTGCATCCCGGAAAATGAAACGAAAAATGCGTTGCCATGGAGAGCTCGGCGTGAGAAGCGAGGACACAATGAGATGCAAAATGGCGGACAGTCATGCCTGTCGAAACCGGTCGGCAATTCTTGGAGTTGGTCGAAGTAAAAATAATAGAAAAGATGGCGAAGCGTTGAAGAATGTGAAAAATAAAAATAAATAAAATTATGGAAGTGTGGGACGTGTAGGAATAAGAAAATAGAATGACGAATATTGGAAATTGAGATGAGATCTGTGTATATATATAGTTATATATTGTGTATATATTGTGTTAAATATTGTATATATTGTTTATATATATAATAGAAAATCAGGTGATGCGATGCGTACGTGCAACACGATGAGGGGAGTGAAGTGAGGGGGTTGCAGCCATACATTCGAGCGCTCGAGCGAGAGAAAGAGAACCCTCGGCGACTTCCCACGTGCGCGCGTGCGCAGACATACACTCGGGAAGAATGAATATATTTAAATAGATAATCATGAATTTAAGCTTGACAAAAATATTTATAACAGGTGACGACCTGCGACAGTTTGTGGAGGAGCAAACATTTTCGTTTGGTCTCGATACACTCCACCAAGGAGAGGCCGTGCAATTAACGATTCAGGGAAACAGTCTAGAAATGAAAACTGAATCGGGAATTATATATAAAATAGGTAAAATGAGATAAGGAAGTGGTTGAGGGGAGAAATGCATGCTACAGAGTGCAGTTAATGATATTAGCTAGCAAATACCTCAACAATAAACAGTAATGCACTCAACTCACATGAATTCAAAAACTAAAAATATAACTAGTTATTTCAGTTGCTCCAAACAACTGATCAGTGGAAGCGTGCTTGTGTTCAGCACTGTGGAACCTGTTCGGTTGTAGCAAATGCAAAGAAGATATTGTGTTCATATTTTTGATGTGTTTGCGGGTTCGGAGATTAACCATACTTGTTGTACAGAAGACTGGTCTCGGAACACACATGTAGGACAAAATGTTTAAATGAAATAATTAACTATTCCTACAGAGAAAAGACTGATGTCGGAGAAGCAGTGGCAAGTGGTGAACGAGTGGTCACAGATGGGTTGGCCGAGAAAGAAAAGGAAAGTGGTGAGAAGGGCAATGAGTTGGCCAAGATAGATGCAAGAGTGACAGAAGATGAAATTCATCAGTCAAATAAGGCCAAACCTCTGATAAAGAATATAGAAACTATAGAACCTAATTACAGATTAAAATCACGCCTACACATCCAAAATCCTATGGAACCAAAGGAACCATTTCCGACAATGTAAGAACTGAATTTATTGTTCAAGGACAAATAAACCTGATGTGTGCAACGCTGGAAACGATCTCCAAGCTCCTGCAGACAATAGCCAATGCACAAAAGAATACAGATAACTATATGGTTGATCATTTGAGGGAGATAAGAAAAGAAATGGCTAAGGAAAAACAAAGAAATGCAGCACAGTTGGACTGCATGACCAAAATGTTAGAAGAATTAATGAAAGCCATCAATGAGCAAGAAGAGGTTGGAGATGAGGTAAGAAATGAATTTGACGTTATAGCAGATTACAAAAAGACAGAGGAGGATGGTGAGGGACTTGAAAATAAAATAGCGAGAATAGTTAAAACACAGTTTGAGAATTTAAAACGAGTCGAGAAGAAATAGAACAGCCAAAGCTAAAACAATGCACTGCTAAATAAGTAGCTGAAGCTGTAAAATTAGAAAGCTTAAATAAAAGTTTGCCAGTAAAAAGAGATTGCAAATTAACGAGTGAAACTAGATTTGAATACTTCTATGACTTCTTTAAGGGTGCCAAGTGAATTTGGCGATGACCTTGAAAATTGATATTCATCAACGAAGTTATAATTTTTTTAATTAATAGTATTAGACAGATGGTGAACATCGGTGACAATTTTAAAATTTTAGAACTTATGGATATCGATAAATTAAATAAACAAAATCAGTCTTATACACGGCCTCTTATGGAGTTTTGATTAAATTGAACGTTTCAACCCCCTAGGAACTCAAGAAAAATTTGAAAAAATTTGAAGATATGGGGAATGATGTGTTCAATGTGATGGCGACAAAAAACAATGAGGTACCGGGGTGAATAAGAGAGATATTTCAACCCGCCGTACCCATTTGATCCCATGCTTTCTCGAGGTTCGTCACGCGAAATAGAGGATTTTCCGCATTTATTTTCTCGATGTCTAGTTCCGGTTGCGGGTTTGAAATTTCGTCGGATGGATGAATACATATTTCTCCAATGATGGAGGGAAAGAAAAATTTTTTTTTGAATCTTTTTTCAAATTCACTTGGCACCCTTAAATCTGAGGTAATAGCTAATAAACTCTTACATATAATTGACAGCACAATAGAATTCAATGGGAATAGAAAGACACTAGAGGAACAAAAATTTAGAGTTCGAGATATTTTGATCAATCACACTGATAAAAATTATTACGCTTAAGTAATTGAACTTGAAGACCCAGTCGAAACTCTAAATAAATTGAGAGAACTCAAGAAATTCGAGGTGAATTAACGTCCTTTACTGTCAGAAAAGAAATATCAAATATGACATACAACAAAGAACAAATGAGTGCAATGGAATTTTACGATAAGTTTGAAGAAGTGACACGAACATATGAAAACACCTCAGGAGAAACTCCTCTGTCTGCAGAAGAGAAAAGAGATGCGTTTTACAACGCAATTATGGTATCGGTACCATTGGTTCAACAATTAGAATCAGCTGTTAAAGTCAAAAGTGAACAACCTCTTTGACGTGATCAACTCAAGTCACTTATTCGACAGGAAGAAGCTAATAGAAATCGATCGGGGGATGTTTCGAGAGTGTGTAAAAAAAGTTTCAGATTTTTTTAAAATTTCCCTGGTAGTAAAATAGTGCATTTCGGATT